ATGTTTGAAATTCTTCTGTCATTTTAGTGTTCTTAGTTTGGTTAATGTCCATTGCTGGGGAGGTGTTGTTCCTCTTTGGGGGTGTGCTTTCCGTTTGAGTCTTCATACTTCCAAAGTTCTTTTGCTCATTCCTTCCCATCTGGGTCAGTTGTTCCTTCTTGCCTTTAAATTTTCGTTTGGATAATGGCATGCCTGGTTTACTCTCTGAGCCAGTAGGTTGTGTTTGTGGGTGAGATTCAACCACACCCTTTATGATGAATCAGTAGATACAGTAAAAGAGTGTGCAGGATGACCTCCCTGTCAGTAGGTGGCACTTGCAGGGAGGAGCAAGCTGTGGTGCTGTGTTTGGGTCCTGTAGCTAGCTCTTATTCCTCTAGAGAGGCCCTCTTGTGCCTCGGGTGGTGGGTGGGGCCCTGGGATTTCCAGGTGTGTCCTTATTTTCCCCCTTAGTGGGAGGAGTGAGTCTGGGTCGGGTTGGGTTGGGCAAGCCTGCCCTCAGGCTCCACAGCTGTTGTTAGCAGGGATCAACTTCTGCTCTTTGTTTCTGTGCAGAGCTTCTGGGAGGGGCTGAAATGGCTCCACTCAGCTGAAAGTCTGGGCTTGGGGGCTGTGGCTGCCCAAGGCCCGCACTCTGGAGCAGGTCTCACTCCCTTCCAATCTCCCCCTCTCCGTGTCCTCCCCCAGGCCTCCGCCAGCAAGCAGGGCCTCAGGCCGATGGATCCCCCCTGGCTGTGATGTGGGCTGGGAGGTTCCGCACCCAGGATCATAGCCAGAGCTGGGTGCACAGACCTCCCTTAGGAGGAGGGTTGCCAGCCAGGCATGCCAATCCACCCCTGGAGACACACACTCCTCAGTAGGCTCCTTCACAGATCCCTCCTCCGTGCCCCAGGGCAGCGCGATCGCGACCTGGGGTGCATGGGGTCTGGTCTGCAGGCCTAACCCCTGGACCCTGGAGATCAATCCCTGACCCTGCCAGGGGGAGAGGCGCTGGTCCCGAGTCACCTACAGGGCGCCCAAGCTGGATCGATTTCACTCCACCTTGGGATTTGTCCCACTCTCCTGGAGTCCCCAGGCAAGCAGCGCCTGGGAGGGCTGGCGGGTAGGGAACTTGGAGTCTGAGTACCCCTCAGTCTGTTGTAGGGCCCCAAAAGGAAAGGTCCCGTTCCTTGGAGATGCCTCCGTGTGATGGCTAAATTGTCTTTCTGGGCACACCCGGGTAGGGAGGGGGAAGGAGAGAATGGAGCACTATGGCGTCTGTCGCTAGGCTCGGGTCTGCGCCCAGGGAGGTGCCCCGAAGGGGCTGGGAGCCCGGCGCTGAGTCCACAAGAGGCCACTGCTCACTGGTGGCAGCATCTCTGGGCTCGTGTCGGCAGGTCTCTCCAGCGGCTCAGGAGCCCACCAGCAGTCCGAGATGCAAGGGAGGGGGAAGTTAACCACTCCACCTACCCTTGTCGCTGGTCTCCAAGCCTCTCTCCTTCCAGTTCTCCTCCCCAGCGTCTTCCCATGGAGTCTCCTGTAGTTTCAGGCACCCTTCCTTCCAACCCTCACCCAATCTATGGTTCTCTGCTGGCTGATTTTTTTTCTCTTTCTTCTAAAATTCGTCTTTTTTGCAGAGACCTTCTGACTGGCGGCTTGTCTCATCCGCCATCTTGGCTCCTCCCTGGCTTCCTGAATGGTACTTCTACTTATATTTCCTTAAGGTATTTCCATATTGCTTTCCAGAGAGGTTACACTGGTTTGCAGTCCCACCAACAGTTCATGAGTGTTCCTATCTCTCTGCATCAATGCCAACATTTATTTTTTTGGGACTTTTTGATAAAGGCCAATCTCATGTACTTTAATTAGTAGTAAGACTTCAAAATCTGTATTTTTAAAATTTACCATAAATCTCACTTCAAACAATTACCAATTTCAAGTGCTCAATGGTCACATGATTTTTTCCTTCATATAAATCATTACGAGGAATCCTTTGTTGCAGAACGAAGTGTGGGATGTCAGATTGGCCATTGAATGCTCTTTAAGACATGGCAATTCTCATCTTAGAAGGGAAGAAAAAAGTCGGGAAATAATTTTACTATTCTTCATTAGCACAAAAGGGCAAAGGATTGGGTAGCATGAAGAAACAATTCCCATAATAGTATCAAGTTGTGGCCTTTTCTTAGATGAAAAAAATGAATAAAGAGTTATGAAGTTGTTTGAAAAATACAATGACACAAAGCAACTTACCAGCACTAGGACGCTGTGGGTGGCTTTGTTTTCAGGAGACGGCTGGGAAGAGAGGCTGGGGCTGTGGAGATGCTGGGCTCTCCTGTGGTGTCTGCGCAGGACACTGACCATGTAGACGCTGGTGCAGATCATGAGGAGCACGAACAGGAGATCTCGAGTCACTAACATACTCAAAAATAACTGTGAAGGGAGGTTTCCAACCTTAGTTTGACAATATGCTTGAGAATACCCAGGACCACCAACAGTGACATTGGTTCTGGCTTCTACAGCATCAATGAGGTGGATATAGACCAGCATGTTGAGGATCCAGAAGAACAACAAAGAGGGAAAAATGCACGTAGAGAGTTTAGACTTAAGCCATGCCCATTTAGAATTCCTGGGGCTGATAGTGATGGCTTGAAACATACTCAGGAGGGTGGTAGTGCAGATGGAAAGAGCTCGGGTCACTCTGTTTACATACAAAATTGCTTTACAACCGACATTGCCCATAACATTTCTTACTCCAAAGTATGCCATGATGTGTGGTGTCAAAGAGAACAGGATGCTCAACACATTGACTAATGTCAGGTGCATGAAAATCAAATGTATGGGCTTCCTCAAGTGAGACTGAATAAGATACATGTACACATAGAACACAAAGAGCAGTGAGTTCCCCATGAAACCAACACATATTTGAAATATGAGGACAGACCCAACAATTTTGTCTCTTGGCATCACTATCATAATGATGTTTTAGATGTTCTAATTAGGTAGGCCAAACCTCAATGCAAAATAAAGAGATTACATTTGAAAATTGTAAATAATGGAGGCTGTGGAAGAATATAATGATTGACAGTTCAGGATGAAGGGAGAGTGTTGAAGTGTCCAATTCCTCTGCACCTCAGGCCCAGATGTGGCATTTGCAGACACTGACTTCCATGGAGTCTCGAGAACCTTACAGTACAGAAGTGGGAGTTTTCAAGCAGGTGGAATTCAGATGCTAACACCAGCATCATAATGTGTTACCCAGGAGGACCCGCTGGTCTACACGAAGGATAAATTTGCATTTTTCAGTTATTTTTCTCTTCAGAGTATCAGATTGCGTTTTATCTCTAAATCTATGCTCCAATATTCTCAACTTTCTAAAGAACATTATACCTCTAACACATAAAGAGTAGCAAGTGTGTCTGAAGTTCTTATTGAGACTTTTGACTGTATACACAGCCCTTCCCAGATACTGATCAATTTAACCAGTTATGTAAAACAGAGTTTTCCAAGTGGGGCTTTTTGCCTCCGCCTACATAAACCCATGTGCCGATGGCAGTACTCACAGACATTTGGTTTATGCAGCTTGGTGCAGGGCTGCTGACAGGCAGTGGGTGGAGGCCCAGGATACTGCTAAACATCCTGCAAAGCACAGGACAGCCACACAACAAGGGGTTTTCTGGCTGCAAGTGCCGTGGTTGATGAATCCTGTCTTACAAATGGTCCATGCATCTTGAGGGCTGCAACACATGTAAAATGCACATTTTTGGTTTGAACATGTCGTGGATGCTTGTTATGGAAACAGAATTATTCAGTTAACAAATATAGTTTGAATAGGAATGATAAGACATTTGTTAAGGTTGACTTTTAAATTAATAAGGTTACCACTGCATCCATATTTACTGGAGTTCGGCACTCTTTGTTATATCATTGTCTCAGAGACTCATTCTGCTACTCATTCAGTTGTTTTCATCATTTTAAACACAATTCTTCCTTTCCAAATAGACATTGAGTGAATTCTGTATGTGTTTCCTCCTTTGTGTTTAGAAAGTCGATAAGACGCTTCTGAATTTACCAAATTGTATTCTCTCCATTCAACACTTCTCTCTACTCTGGCATCCATCTCTACTACAGCAATAACATCCTCATGATCCAATGACACAGAAGGAAATTCAAAGTATTTATTGGAAATCTATAATACGATACCATTATTCCTCCATAATCTCATTATGTTTCTTCTAGCAACTTTGCAGTTTAGTTTTATTACTTTAAATTGTTTGAAATGCTGATAGTTGATATGGTTGATGATTGTTGACCACACTCTAGTTATTGAAAACGCATCCTATGCTGAATATGGGGTATGAAATTTCATGTTCACATTCAAGCTCTTTGACCATGCATTTCTTATAGTTCAGTAAGGAATGGCCCCTCTCAGTCCTTAACTATTATAGCCAGAATTCTTTCTAGAATCCTTCTTTTCTCTTGCTACACATGTCTTCTCTTGACAATAGAAATTCTTTCACAGTTTTATCACCCAAATCAATTCTCCAGATTTTCTTTGGTATTCAAAGAGTTAAGATTTTACTCATCAGTGGTTGGAGGCCCTGGTTAACATACCAAGCTCTTCAGAATCTGTACATAACCAGCCTCAACTCTGCATGATTTATGATAGAATAAATAGTGTCAGCTTGGCCCCCCCCAACTTGATGCCTAGCAGAAAAGAATGTAAACAACCTGTAATGAAAGATAGGATCATCTGGAACCTTCATAGCTTAATGTGCACTATGTTTATTAAAGAAAAGAAAATAAGTGTAGAAATGCAGGTGAATGAATAATTTAAATGCATGAGAAAGACAGAAATAAAAACAGAGCAACAAGTTGTCCAGATGTGGAATCAACATGTAGGGATGTTAAAATTACCTGGGTAATATTACATCAGTCAAAATTAAGGAAGACAATGGAGTGACAAAAACTTTTTGGAACAGGCTGTCAGTATGGGTATTAGAGCTTACAAAAATGTGGGAAGCACTTCAGTGAAACTCTGGAAAAACCACATGAAAAGGGGGAAAAAAAAGAAAAAGAAAACACAACAGGAAGGGCAGAGAAAGTCACTAACCACAATAGTCCAGAGCAATAGCTGGAGGGCAGGGAGCTGCAGGTGGGAAAATCCTAAAGCCATGAACATAGGTAAGGAAGGTTGGCTTGTCAAGCGGAAACATCTGGAGAGGTGTTAGAAGCTGCCAGATCTGAATAAACTGCAGAGATGAGCGTGGGAGTTGGCTTGGGGCCACTGTTGGAATATGAAGCTGGAAGCTGGAGGCTGCTGAGAGCTTCTGTGTCTGTTATTGAGTCTCAGTGATATACTATTTAAAAGATTAAAGGCTTTTGTTTCACTCTTATCTTTCCAAACTCACTGGGCCAACCCTAACCCAGAAATTTATAGGGGAAGGTATTCTGTAAAGCGTGATTCTGAGCCTTAGAAAAGAGATAGGACCAGGTTGACAAATTGAGATCAGACACAGTTCACTCAAATACAGAATTTGGTGTCCTATCTCACATTTAATTGTTAATGTAGCATCCTGGCCTATCCCTTTTAACTCCAAGTATGCAGAATAGCAAAACCAAGATTCCAGATGTCGTGATGCAATCCCTTCAAGAACTGAAATGTTACAAAAGCATCTTCATAAAAGAGGATCTAAAAAGTTCCATAGGATTGAATTTGTGTGCTATTTGTTCATCTTAAAACTGTCAATTTCTTGTAAGTTAAATTCTGGAACCAGCATATTTTCTGATTTCAGGCAACGTTACAAAACTGTAGTAATGTAAACACTATCGTATTGGCATAAAAAGAGAGCCATTGACCCATGGAATAGAATACAGATCTCAGAGCTAAACCCACACAGTATGGTCAATTAACTATTGCCACAGGCACCAGGAATCCACAGTGATGAAAGAACAGTCTCTCCAAAAGCTGGTGTTGGCTAAGCTGGCTGTTCATTTGAAAAAAAATGCTACTGGACTCTTATCTAACAGCATACAGAAAAATCAACTCAAATAGTATTAAAGATACAAACGGAAGACTAGAAATTGTAAAATTCCCAGATGAAATAATAGGAATAATACTCCTTCACATTAGTATGGGCAATGATTTTTGGATATGACACCAAAAGCATAGATGACAATAACAACAACAACAAATGCATGAAACTAAAAAGCTTCTGCACAGCAAAGGAAATAATCAACACAATGAAAAGGCAACCTGCAGAATGGGAGAAACTATTTAAAGTACATATATTAGGGAGGGGGTTTATATTCAAAATTATACGTAAGGAACACATACAACTCATTAGCAATAAAACCAAATGAACCAATAAAAAATAGGCACAGGATTTGCATTGACATTTTTCTGGAGAAGACATACAAATGGCCAAAATATTCAAAGGTGCTCAACACCTTTCATCGTCAGGGAAATGGAAATCACAATGACAATGAGACTTCCCCTAACACAAGCAGGTGCTTATTATAAAGATACAGATAAGAAGTATTGGAAGGGTATAAAGAAAAGGGAGCTCTTATACACTATTGACGGGAATAAATTGGAATGACCCTTATGTAAAACTATATGGAGTTTCCTCAAAAAATTAAAACTAGAACCACCAGTTCCACACTACATGAGCATATTTCCAAAATAACTAAAATCAGCATTTCAAAGAGATGTCTGCACCCCCATGTTCACTGCAGCATTATTTATAACAGCAAAGATAACAGAGCATCCTATGTGTCCCTCAACAGGCATGTGGGTGTGGAAAATACGGGACACACATGCACACACACAGACACACACATACACACACACACACACATACAGAGGAATATTATTTGGGCATATAAAAGCAGGAAATTCTGCCATTTGTGGCAGCATGGATGAACCTGGAGGATGTTACATTGAGTAAAATAAGCCGGACACAGACAGGCAAATATCCTATGGTCTCACTTATATGTGGAATCTAACCAGGTCCAACTCAGAGAAGAGGGTGCAGAATGCAGGTTCCCAGGGCCTGAGGTGTGGGAAAAATGGGGTGATGTCAGCCAAAGGGTACAAACTTTCACTTTTGGGATGAATAAGTTGTGTACATCTACAGTAACATATGGTGATAGTGTATTATATACCATACATTTGCTAATGAAGTAGATCTTAAGTGCTCCCCCCCCACACCATGTAACTATGCGAGGTGATGTATATGTTAATTAACTGGTTTGTGGTAATCATTTCACAACATACAAGTATATAAAATCATGTCATACACCTTAAAATTATCATTTTTATTTGTCAATAACACCCCAATAAAGCCAGAAAACATTTTAGAATCAGAAGGGACTAAGCCCACTAAGCAAAGGGCAGAGAAGGCAAGATCAAAAACTATCACAGCACAAGTATGTGCTGTCCGATACACTCACGTTTTAAATACAAAGATGCACATGAATCAAAAGTTGTAGAATATAGAAAGCAACAGTGTGTAAATCTAAATGAAAGAAATGAGCAGTGAGCATGT